ATTTATCATTTATCTCCTTTTTTTGTATCTTATTTTTGTTTTTTATTTATTTTATTTATACTTTAAGAAGAACTGAAAAACTGAAAGTATTAACCATATACATTAAGATCTATATGCAGTCAATTACGAAATGGAAGATAAAAGGCCAAAAAACTTAAACTACTAATAATATACATTAAGATCTATACACATTCAATTACTAAATAGAAGATGAAAAGGCGAAACTGCTTATTTTAGCACAGAACATAAAAGGGTTAGGGAATATGCAACAAAGTGCTCCTTCGATTTGCTTCTTTTCCTTCTGAGATGTACATATTTCTTTAGAAGAGAAAGATATACAATCTCAAAATCCTCCGAAATGACATGTTTCATGGGCTTAATTATCAATGCTATAACTACTTGAATGAGCTTTTCCTCATTTCTTGGTATGATTTCAATAGTAGTTTCTCCACTAAGGAGATACATACTAAGATTTTTTTTTTCATTTTGTTAGAGAAATTTATATGAAAAGTAATGAAAGTGTCAAAAGGCAAGAATAATTATTTGTAGAAAGTATCAATCTATTTGTGGAACTTATATCAAATTAGGAGGAGATAATATTTCATATTGAAGGGAAGAATTTAAGGGAGGGGAAAAGGAAAAACAATGAGAGCAGAAAAGAAAAGAAAATGAAAGAAACAAGGAAAAAGTTTGACAGAATAGCAAATCTGGCGTTTATGGAATCGAAATTAGTCGCGACGTTATTAATTTCTTTTAATTTCTTTGTTCTGCTAATTTCTTTAGTCCTTTATTTTTCTCTTTTATTTTCCTTCTATATTTTTAATTAAAGTTGATGTTCTGAATTATAAGATATGATATTAAAATTATGCAAAAAGGAGTAATGTATATTATATATATATATATATATATATATATATATATATATACACTAGTAAAATTATTCGTGCTCGCGCGGAAATTTAATATCACAAAATTTATAAAATAATACTTAAAACCTATTAGTCATTAAAACCAAAACACTATGTTATCTTACATACAATATTATGTAGTAACAAACATTAATAATGTAAAGGAAAATGAAAATTATTACATCTTATCATTTATCATTAATAACATAAGCATAAATTAATGACTGTAAAAATACATACCAAGATCTTTAACATAAGCAATTGTGTCAGTGAGCCACTCAACAGGAGCAAAATAAACAAATATTTAATTGTGAAGAAGAAGAAGAGATTAAGAATTTTCATTGTTTTAAAATAAGAGGAAATCCCTCTATTTATAGACAACAAAGGGTAATGTGAACAAATGTTTATTGTGCCTTATCGAAAATGTTACAACTATTTGAAAAAGTTTCAACCCTTCGGAAAGGTCACAACCTTTCATAAACGTCATAACTTTTCATAAAAGTCACAATTTTCATTAAAGTCACACTTTTTCATAAAAATCACAATTTTTCATAAAAGTCGCAATTCTTCATTAAAGTTGCAATTTTTCATAAAAGTCAGAAATTTTCATAAATGTCACAACTTTTCATGAAAGGGGAAGGATAATTTTGGAAATAAATAAATTAAAAGAGAATTTTGGTTTGTGATAGCGCCACGTAGGCGGGCCTAAGGTTCTCTTTTATATATATATGATATATAATTGTAATCAATATTTCTAGGTGAAAAAAATAAAAGAAAAGGTTTTAAATTTAGGTGAAAGATGTTACATAATTTATTTATAATTGACATGTCTCTATAATCAAGAATGGCATTTATTTCTTTTTTCAATTTTAAAAAAAATATTTTTCTAATTATTTTAATTTATGTATAACAATTGTAAAATTATTTCTTAATTATTTATCTCTTTTTCAGTTTAGTCAGATAATTATTGTCATTAATTTAGTGGTTTAATGATAATTATTATGCAATAAATAATATTATTATTGAACAATTTCTATCAATATATAAAGCAAGCATAAATTAGGCGACGTGACAATTCTCTTTGAACATTTTTTTCCTTTCTTTTTGCTTATTTTTTATCCATTTTTTAATTTATTGTTTGCAATTTAGAAAAGCAACGAAAAATCTATATCTATCTATATATATATATATATATATATATATATATATATATAAAGCTAGATAAAAAGGAAGTGATGTGGCACCTCTCATTGGCCAAGAATCATATTTATCTTTTTTGTGGTTTTTTCTATTTTTTAAAATTATTTTATTTTATAAAATCGTCTCTTTAATTCATACCTCTTCAATTACATAATTATACAATTCTATAACTCTTTAAAATCACACTTATAAAAACCTATTTATCAAATTCCCAATAACAATACAAATTCCCAACTTTCCTCCAATTATTTATCAAAATCTTGACACTTATCTTTACACAAACATTTAACAAATTCAAAAAATTAATTCATTATTTAAACAATTAAATGGAAAGCACAACCAACAAATGAAAAAAGTGGTATAAATACCACAAACAAAATTAAAAACATCAAGATACACCATTTATCTTCATAGTCACCATCTGCTCATAGTGGTTAATTGAGGTTAGTTTTTCAAATGTTCAATATTATTATATTTAAATTATATTTTATTGCAACACTTTATTCTTAGTTTGACTTTGACAAATATTTATACAGAAATACTACAATTGATAAGAAAATTATGGATCATCCCCAACAAATTAGTTCGGAGAATTGTCAAGGTAAAATATTAATGTAAATATTCATAATTATATTAAGTTGTACTTCTATACAATTAACAAAACATTTATTTTTGCATGCAGATGCAGCTGAAAAATCAAGCAAAACGTTAAAGTGATGTATGAAAATATTATGCAATAGCGAATTGCATATGACGTTTTTCATGTATTGATTTCAATGTAATAGGGAGATGAAATAGTTTTTTATTAGAGAATATATTCTCTAAAAATTAATCTAATAACAAATAATAGGATGTTGTTGATGTATTTCTTTATATTTTTTACTGTTATTTTACATTGAAAATCATTTAAAAAACATTCACAAAAGTATCCATAATAGATATTACAATATAAAAGTTCAATCTCCTTGGTATCTTAATAAAAAGCAAGGAGGACCATCAAAACATACTAACAATTCCCCCATTTAGTGCAATGAAAATAAAATAATTTTTAATCAAGCATGTATCATTTCAAACGAAGAGATAATGATATAGTTGGATAATATAATGATATGATTAATCCACAAAGAAAAATTATTCTAACACATATTTTTAACCCTCGACCGAAGCGCGACCATGTTCTCTAGTGTATAAAAAAATGACAATATCTAGATTTAAATACACAACCTTGCCCTTAGAATTAAGGCACCTAAACCAACTAAGCTGAATGTCCATTTGTGTTAAAAAGTGTCATTGTATATAATATATTCACTCTTCTTCTTTTGCTTTTACTTATATAGGTATATTTAATAAAAAAAATCGATGCAGCAGTGTCATGTAATACCCTTAACCTACGTATATCTGCAACTGAGTTGAATATTCATAAACAAGCTGCTAAAAGCCAATGTTGATGTTAAAAGAAAGTACAAAATACAAATGATTAGCTAAAAATAAAGGACTTGTTTTGTCCTATACACTGGACATTATAATTTGTTTGTGTTATAAAATTCCAAAATTAATTCTCAAAAGTTCATAATCTTCACCTAATACTGGAAGTTTTCTATTTAAACTCTAGTACACATTTTAATATGCTACTTTTCATATTACATTACAAATTTTATAAATGACCAAAGTCAGCTATAGTTAAAGGGCACTTCTTTGTTTTTTTTTTTTAAAAATAAATAAATAAATATTTTTTATTTCCAATTTTAAAATAACTGAGACAATTTTATTTTTTTAATTGAAGAGGCCCATGAGGCATGAATTAATAAAAGGAAAAATGACCTAACTACACATCATTTATTATCATATTTTCTTATTTTCTCTATCATTTCAAAAAAATATCAAAAATCACTTTTTTTGTTCCCATCATTCCTTTTTTCAGATACATTAATTTGAAATCTCCTACCCATGATTTTCCTTTCTTTTTTTCACTCCACAAATCTCTCTACAGTTACTTTCATTAATCTATTTCTAAATTTCAAATCTTTTCTCTTTCCAATTAATGATTTCAAGTTATTCAAAAGGTAGATTTCTTTCAATCACTTCAATTTTCAATTCCTTTTATTTTTTTTTAAAAAATTCATCTTAAAAAATTACTAAATCTTTTACTCCCAGTCTCTTTATGTAAGAGAGGTGGAAAAACCTTGCTAATGCACAAAGTTCATCTTGGAGTGCATTTGGAATGGTTCCAGGAATTTCTAATGGTGGTCTTGATACATTTCATTCCGTTGGTTTGATCTTTCAATTTTTTGGGCTTACCTAGTTAGTCCGAGAAGGATACATCTGACGTATAAAACAACTGTGGAAAAAATGCTTAAAAAGGGAGAAATGTCGAGATAGTGGTGGCTATGGTAAGGGCTTTGGATCAAGATCCATAGGTGACGTCATTTGTTGACAATGGAAAGAAAGATACGAGAATTGATCCAGAGCAAAGGAGGATTTCTTCGTCAGCTTTTTTTTCTTTGCTTTCCGCTGATTAGATTGTTGATTATTTTTTTTAATTATTTGGTTGTTCATCTTTTCTGATACATATGGGTTCACATTTTTAATATATCTAGTTGATTTTGTTTCTTAAACTAATGTATAATGTCTCCATTTCAACATTATGATACATTACAATTTTATCATGCACAATGTATTGTGTTCAAATATTAATTTTGATACATAACCTTAATTAGTATTGATACTTGATACATAAATTCTACCAAATGTATCATTTATCATGTATCAACCTTTTCATCTACAAATTTCTGATACATATGAATTCATCTCCCTCTTTTAGTATTGGGCTTACCCAATTTGATTATGAGGATGTAAACTTTTATGAAAATCAATCGAAACAACTCATTAATCATGACGAATTTGAGAGCAGAGAAGTTGAAGAAGGATGCATGCTCGAGTTGTAAATCTACTATTCAAAAACGCCCAAAAAGAAAGAAAAAAGTTGGATCTGCCATTGCACGACCATCACTACCAAAGATACAGATTTTCAATGTATCTAGTTTATTTTGATTCTTAAATTAATCTTTTTTAGTGTTATCACTGATCCGACACATCACTGCTACAATAGCCTTTGTTTTATGCAATGTATCATGTTCATATTTAAAGTATTGATACACAACTCTAATGTTGTTGAATCTTCGATTAGTGTTTATCATGTTCAATATAAATGTACTTGATACGTAAACTGTAATGACCCGGAAAATCATTTTTGGGAAATCCTGAACTATTCGTTTAACTTTAGTTAATTAGTTGATGGGTAATTATAGATAATTGACTTAATTGATAGTTAGTGGGCTAAAGTGATAATTTATTTAAGACCTTATACTATTTGACCCATATGTAAAACATAATTAATAAAAATTAAGGTTCCTAGGTTGAGTCATAAACTCAAAAACGACCGCGACACTATTAGCAGAGAAAGTTGACGGCAGCTTCAGGTGAATGTTTCTCAATTTCGTTTCAGTAACTTTAATTATATGTAGAAGTTTGAATTAATGAATCATTAGATGTGGTGGGTAGTGTCCTTGTTATCATTATTATATTATAATTGAAATTGACAGAGAATTAAAAAGTGAGAAAGTTGTCATTGTAGACATGAAAAATATTCTTTTTTTAGAAAGGGAGGAAGGTCATGAAATTGTAATGATGGGGAGTGATTATGTATATATATAAATTGAGGCTAACATCAAAAGCAATTATGTAAAAATAAAAATATATAAATAATTAGAAGGTATGTTAGATGACAGTTTTGGATTTGTTTAAGAGCTAGAAACTATAGGATTTTGTGGTGGTTACTTTAATATTTAATTGTATTATAAAGATTTCTGTATACTAAGGGAGTAGATATTTTATAATTTTAAGACAGATTCGTTCATTTTACTTGTGATCTTTTTCTAATAAATTATAGTACACTGCTTATTTAATGGGTTAAAGCTAGGATCTGGAAATCTCCATGCTTAATGTCCGTATGTTTTCAAGGCAATGGTCCAACAATTTTTCTCCTATAATTTTTTTACGTGTTATAAATTTGGGGTCTACGATATGAGTAATATAGTTTTAATAAAATTTCAGTTATGTCCTTGTGGGCATAGATTCAACTTTGAAGTGAATTTTGGGATCATAGTAATGGGTGTTGTTAGTTTCGAAATCTTATAGTGATTATTAATGTGAATAGATTGCTTTGAGTTGGAAGTACAACGAAAGGGAAGACTCAGGTCTCAGAGTGATTGTTCGACTATTTGAGGCAAGTGGATTTCTAAACACTTGTTAAGTGTATGGAATTCATGTATTTCCTTGTAATATGTGATTAGGGTAATGAGGCTTGGTGATGGATTGACTTGTCCACATTGATTAATTCTAATGATGAGAAAGGGATAATAAACGGCAATGTGATCAATTTTTTGTGTGATGTGTTGAGAATTGTTTGCAAGGCTTGTTGAATCACTGTTGATGTTGTATCCTGATTGTGTTGTTGTGAATTGTGCAATGTTATGAAAATGGTCATATCTTCATTATTTGTGTGAATATGTCAATTGCATTGTTCTAAGACATGGTTGTGACAAGTGTTATGTGCATTGAGAAAGAATAAGAAAATAAAGAAGATGTACCATTTTGAGGGACGTATCGCGCGCTGCGATGGATACTATATTTCGAGGGACGTGTCGTGCGCCGCGACAGATACTATATTTCGAGAGACGTATCACGCACCGTGATGGTTACTATTATCGAGGGTCGTATCACGCGCCGCGATGGATGCATGGACAGTTATGTCCCCCATGGGTCCCGGACTGAGAGACAGCGGGTGTGTATCATTAGGTCAGACATGCATCACTATACTTGACATTGCATTTCATTGCATTGCACTTCTTTATTATTGGTGAACTTGATCTTGTGTGTTGTTGATTTTGTGAGTGCATTTCTATGAAACTTGTGACTGATGAATATTGGGCTTATTGTTGAAGATATGCAATTGTTAGAGTGTTGTTGTTGAGGATATGAAACTATTGTTGTTGTTGAGGATATGAAATTGTTAGAGTGTTGTGTTGAGCTATGTGCTTTGTAAACTGTGAACTGTTATGTTGGGTTGGTACTAAGCAGGTTGTAGTTGTGGAGGTGGTAATTGATAAATATTGAGCTTGTTGTTGAGAATATATGATTGTTAGAATGTTGTTGTTGAGATATGTGCTTGTAAATTGTGAACTGTTAGATTGGGCTGGTTTTATACAGATTGTAGTTGTGAAAGTTCGGTTGGGGTGTAAAGAGTACTTGTATTCTATCCCCTTAGCTTGTGTTTAGAAGTTTACTTGCTGAGTACCGTGTGGTTTGGTACTCACCCCTTGCTTCTACAAATTTTTGTAGGTTACGAGCCTGGATTTTTGTAGTACTTGTCATTCTCTTCTTTTCCAAGGCTTCTGGGAGATTTATGAGGTAGTTGTTTGTCTTCTCAGCGATCTTTCTTACTCCTGTTTATGATCTTGTTCTACTCTAGAAACAATGTCATATGAGACTTGTATTTTTCTTTTGAGTCAATTGTAATACTTTAGAGGCTTGTACACATGACAACCAGATTTTGGGGGTATATTTGAGTTTATTATAAAAAAATCCGCATTTTATTGTAATGGTTGAGTTTTAGGCTGACTTGTCTTGGTGGGTTAAGACAAGTGCCATCACGTCCATTTTTGGGTCGTGACATAAACTTTGTGTTATGTATAACACACCAAAAAATATGTTATTTGAAACAATTACATGTATAATGTTTTTAATATTTATATATATATATAGTATTTCTCAAACAAAATAAGATACATAAATAATAATGTATCATGCACTAACTTTTTAGGCATGATATGAAAATTCGAATTCATACTAAATGTATCTGATACATAACAATTACCAAACAATAATGTATCGATCTCAAACCTAAAATCTTATGGGCAACACTTTCTTATTTAATGTATCTAGTAGACATACAACACTTATCAATTTAAATTGAAAGGACCTTCATGATGTATCTTCTCAAAAATTTTGATAATTTTGAATCTAAATTGAAAGGACCTTCAATGAACTAGGACAATAATTTTGAAACTAAAATTTTCAACAATTTTGAATCAAAATTGAAAGGATCTTTAATGAACTGGAGAAGAATTTTGAATCTCAAATTTTTTGACAATCTTGAATCAAAATTGAAAGGATCTTCGATAAACTTGAAGATTCACAAAAGAAATCATTTGTCCAACAAAAAATCCATCACTTTTGTATCCTTCACAACTCACCTCGCTTACCCAAAATTTTGACAACACTTTTTGAATCAAATAGGAAAGGTTTCTTCGCTGAATAGGAAGGGCCAAAGCAATTTGAAAATTTGAATTTCTTCGTTCTGTTAGGATTTATATCTGTATGATTGAAAGTAAGAAGAAACGTAAGAAGATCAAGATATTCATTATGTATCGTATGAAATTTTTGGCTAGTGGATGAAACAGAGAGAACGATGAACAAGAAGAAGAAATTTAATTTTTAATTTTTTTGGTTTATTACACTATATGATTAAATTAATGACAATAATTTGGAATGGAATAGCGCAATTTATGGGATCTTCATTTGATTTTCAGTTTTTCCCCTTAATTAGTGCAACAAATGGATACTATGAGATCCTAATTTGATTTTTCAGCTTTTCCCCCCCTTAATAAGTGTCACAACCTGAGCCTACACCTTAGACGTCGCTGGCACTCGAGAACCATTGTTGGTCCCCAAGAGAACCCTCATCCTGGCTGACTACAAGCGGAAGACTAACTTAAGCATACATAAGCTTAAAAACTGAATAAAATTCATTGAAACTCAAATTATGAACTCAGAATATAATCATATATTCAATTATCCAAAACTAGGCAACTCAAGTCTTTAAAATATTAACAAGATAAATGAAACAGCCTTCTGAAACTCTACTGTCTACAAAGATGGAAGTCGGAACAAGACCCACGACATCCTGACAAAATTGAAAAGTAAATGAAATCTTCCCGATGCAAGGAGGCTCACCATAGCTGACTAGAACTCCATGTGGTATCAACGAAGCTCCTGTTGATGATCCTGAATACATGTATCTGCATCATGAAACGATGCAGGCCAAATGGTTCAGTGCGTGGCATGTACGAGAATGTAAGGGGAATTCTAAAGCATAAACATAGGCTTGAACTTGATAAAAAGGAAACATACTTACCTTTTCTCAACTCACTCAACTAACTCAACTCAAAGATAAAATATTCAACTTAGTGAAATAAGGCTCAACTCAATAATATGCTATTCAACTCAGAGGTACTCAACTCATGATACTCAAGGATAAAACAACAGTAAAAGATGCAATATATATGGAAAGCTTTTAAAACAGTAATAACAACTCAATATATTGAAGAATACAATAATAACTCGGTTTGTATATATAAAAATACGATATAACTCTGTGAGAGTTTCTCTAACCGACAACCATCACTATGAGCTATGTGATGATAAGTCTCGCCCACGCTGCAAGAGCTATCCTATATTTTACCGGGGTATAGAACCTCTCAACTAAGTGGATCCACTAGTCTATGCTATAAGGCATTAAGGAATCATCTAAAAAGTATGATCCTTTCTACTCACGTTGGCTACATGATTTATGTAACACCCCGAAAAAATGGTAGGTTGAACTAGAGCCTAAACATGAGGGTTAACGTAAAGGGTTAAGGGGTTTAGTGGTTAAACATCAAGGTACGTGCTAGACCACGTAGTTTATAAGACCTTTTAAGGTTTGGTAGAGGATTGAAAGGTCAAGTGTCAAGCTAAAAATGGGTAAGCCTAAGCTAAAGGCTAAGGCTGCCCCAAGCTTGGCCAAATACTGCCCAAGGACCACGACCACCTTCACGACCAGTGGTCTTGACCACGGTCCGTGAAGGGGCTCATGAAGGTCCCTTAGGCATGTGGGAAGCAAGGCCTTAAGGCCTAGCCACTTCCTAGGAACC